GGGCCACACTCCCTGCAGAAGCTTGGCCTCCGCAGAGTCACTCTGGCCAGTGCTTCCTGAGATGCTCTTTCAGCTGAGGGATGGAAGGCAGCAGCTGCTGGCACTCATGACAACGTAGGGGCAGCTTCAAGAGCTCTGGCATCCCATCTCGAACAGCCACTCTGCCAGTCTCTTGAACCATCTTGATCACAGCTGCAGGCAAGAGAAAAAAGTTCAGATCCCAGCTACTCTGGAAGACTGGTCTCCCACCCACCCACTGCCATCAAGTCAATTCCAACTCAAAGTGTCCCTATAGGACAGAATAAAACTGCCCCATTGAGTTTCTAAGGCTTTTCTGTAAATCTTTATGGAAGCAGACTGCCTTATCTTTGTCCCACAGAGCCACTAGGGAGTTAGAACTACCAACATTTTGGTTAGCAGTTGAATGCCTTAATCACTGACACCAGAGCTCCTAGAAGACTGGTACAAAAGCAAAATCAAACTCACTGCCATCGAGTTGATTCCAACTCATAGCGACCCACATTGGGTTTCTGAGGTGGTAAATCTTTACAGAAGTAGATTGCCCAGTCTTCCTTCTGCAGAGTGGCTGGTGGGTTTGAACCACCGACCTTCTGGTTAGCAGTCAAATGCCTTAGGCAGTATACCACCAGAGCTCCTTAGAACACTGGTATAAGATATCCAAAAAGAAAATGTGACTCCAAATCAAATACATCAGATATCCTAAAGCTAGTAAGCTTCTTGGGAAAATGGGCTTCAAAATCTGAACAACTTATCTTTAAGATGATTCTTTTTCTCCAGATATACTCTAGCAGTTTAACTATGTCAAGGGCTTATCACAGTGCTTTACCCCTGCTGGCCCTTGGTAAATGGTAGCTGTTATTGCTAACACCCCAGCATACTGAAGATCTATACTATACACCAAGAAATGCTGCCTTCTACAGATACATAGTCAATGAACCACCCCTGACACAAGGCAGCCCTTGAGCAGCCCTCCCAGCTGATGGCACAAGAAACAAAGAACTGTTGAGAATTTTCTCATCCATGAACTCCAATAATCCTTAGGGCAACATGAAATCCCTCCCTGTTACAATAGAACTCCTTTTGACCCTGCCAAAGCAAATGTCCAGTCATCCAAGAAGGCTGCTCACAGTAAAATGGCAATTCTACTACAATTCAAATAATTTGGTTTCTTTTAAAGGAGCTCTCTTTATAGAGAACACGAAGTTCTACATGGGTTTTTGAGGCAATGTTATTATTTAGGAAAACAATTGAATCAAGTATAAGAACAGCTGAGAAATGAAACAAATGAGAAAACCAAGAACATTGCTTACCTTGTGAGTCTAAGAAATAATCTGTATTGAAAGAATTCCAGTGCTTTTTGTTTTTAAGGCAAGGAGAATCAAAATCCTGGCTGATCACATGAAGGTGCACATGGCTAGTTGAAAGGGAAAAAGTGACCATTAAACCCATTTAAAATTATGGCTAAATCAAAATGAAAAACAGTAGAAGTATGGGTCCATACAGTATGAATAGTCATCCATTCAATTCACTCATTCACTCATTTAACAATAGTCAACGTTTCTTAAGTACCTACAAAGTGCCAAGCACTATTCTAGGCATCAGGAATTTAGCAATGAATAAGATAGCAAAAGCATCTGCCCATATAGAAATTGTATTCTAATGGAGGGAAACATAAACAAATGAATAAACACGGAAAATTCAAATCATTATCACTGCTAAGGAAAAATAAAACAAGGAAATGGGATAGTGAGGGCCCAGGAGCAGAGGCTGCCTCTTTACTAGCTAGGGTGTTCAAAGGAGGCGTCTCCCATGCAAGCAAAGTCTGAGAGAGGAGTGTTTCAGGGAGTGAGGAAGACAAGTGCAAAGGCCCTGAGATGAGCAAAAGCTTGCTGCAACCAAAGAGAGAGAAGGTTAATGTGGCCACATGTAGTAAATAAAGAAGACAATGGCTGGAAGCCAGGCAGGGGCCAGATCACAAAGGGTCTTACAGGCAGACAAGAGTTTCACATTTTATTCAACGGGGAGTCACTGAAGGATTTTAAGCAGGGGAGCACTAATATCTGATTTATATTTTTAAAAGATCACTCTGGCTGTGGGGTGGAAGAAGGACTGTAGAGAAGGTAAGGGAGACAAAGGGAGACCAGTTAGGAAGCTGTTGCAACAGGCCAAAAAAGAGTACGGCTTAAACTAAAGCTATAGCAGCTAAGGTAATGAGAAGCAATCCAATTTCTAATATATTTTGGGATAGACCCAACAGGGCTTACTAAAGGATTAGATGTGGGTTTAGGGCCTAAAAAACTGACTGGTTCCACCTACTGAGATGGAAAAGACAGGGGAATAGCAGACTTAGGAAAGAAAATCAAGACTTGTTTCAGGCATGTTAAGTCAAGTATAAGGCTTTTTTGTAGTTTTGACTCTTGGGATGATATTAATGTTTCACATTTCCCCAATTATCAAAATCAACAAGTATGTTGGGGAAAAATCAATAAGCAGTAAGAAATAAACCTAACTGGATTACAAATGAATAATGGAACCACACTGAAAAGAGTGGGAAGAAAACAGCTAAACTAAGTAACTCTGGAAAATAGTTTTAGAATGGGTTATTATAAAGGTAAAGACAAAAAGATCTGTATACAAATAATGCACTAATTAGTAAATGTGTTTCTCATAGGTCAGCAATTCTGTAAGTATTTTATACGTATACTCAAACCAAATCAAACCAAACCTACTGCCATCACATCAATTCCAACTCATAGCAACCCATTAGGACAAAATTGAACTGCCCAGTAGGGTTTCCAAGGCTGTAAAGCTTCATGGAAGCAGACTGCATCATCTTTCCCCCATGGAGCAGCAGCCAGGTTCAAAAAGCCAATCTATTGGTTAACAGTCAAATGCTTTTAACCACTACCCTACATACATATATGTGTGTGTGTGTGTGTGTGTGTATAATTCATTCATTCATTCTAGGATTGAACAAATAGGCAAATTTATTATAGCTAATGAGAGTCAGGTTTTTTGCTTTTTTTTTTTATCACTGTTGAAGAAGTTAAAATAAAATAGGGAAAGGGGAATGAACTCTGCAATGCTGGACTGCCGAGGTACCAGAACTCATGGTTTTCCATATACCTATACTATACTGATAAATAAATACAGAAATCAATGCAGATGTGTGCATCTGTGTGTACTAGTTTTCATACATGTATTTGCTGGTTCTATCTGTTAGAGGGCCTAGGAGCAATGACATCCTGGAATCAAAGAAAGTGGTGTATTAAAGTTCCCACTATGTGGAGTCATCTATTTGGCTTTTCAACTCTTTTAAAGTCTGATTTATGTATTTTGGGGCTCTTTCATTGTGTCCATAGATATTTATTATGCTTATATCTTCATGTTCAATTGATCCTTTAATCATTATATAATGTCCTTCCTTGTCTCGTATGGTGGTTTTGGTCTTAAAGTCAATTTGATCAGAAATTAATATCGCCACTCCTGCTCTCTTACAGTTGCCATTTGCTTGATATATCTTTTTCCAACCTTTGATTTTTAGTCTATTTTTGTCTTTATCTCTAAGGCGTGTCTCTTGTAGGCGGCATATTGATGTGTTTTGTTTTCTTATCCAATGTGCAACTCTCCGTCTCTTGAGTGGTGCTGCATTTAATCCATTAACATTCAGGGTAATTATTGATAAGTTTGAATTTGTTGCGGTCATTTTGTTATGTGTTTTTTCATGGTGTCCCTGGTTTCTTTGTTTCGTATTATTTTCTGTGCTGAGATCTTATGTTTATGAGTCGTGTTATCATTTCCTTTGTTGCTGTTGTTTTATTATTTGCTGAATATTTGTGCTTGTCCTCTTTTTTATTGTGATGTGAAGGTTTATCATTTTTCTTTGAGGTTACCCTATGATTTATAA